TTGCCATCAGTCCAAAGAGATTTTCCTTCCTCCAAAACATGTTGTACAGCCTCCTTCATGGCTTCAGCTGTTGTGTAACCAACATTTCTATTTGACTCTCTTTTTCTAACCATTTTATCTGGAAGAGGAAAAAAAAAGGAACACAACTGAATTATTGAGAAATCGGTTTATTAAAGAATAATTATTTAATTTAAAATGTCTTATCTTAATCTTCACTGGTATTAAAATCTAGGCCAAATTCATACTTTTTCTGATTTAAGTTATATTCCACAAACTTGCGTTTAACATATGTATGTCAATATATTAAAATATTATTAAAGAGCATAAATGGGGCACATTGAATCAATAGCTTAAATGATCCACTGTGCCCCGATTCACTGTGCCCCGTGATAAAAAAAATTAAACAAATTTAATTTTCTGCTACATGGCTGGCTGCATAGGACTGGTAAATTGTTTTAATACATTCTACTAGGTCACTAATGCTAATCAATTACATCGAATTTTTACAATCTTAATAATAAAATCTGTGAAATAAAATTAGAGAAGGTCCTAAAATTTACTTTTGATGGTAAAAAACATACCTTACCTTGTAAAATTTCAAATTGACGTTAGAACAAGCAATTCTGTATAAATAAAGTTGGCGGATGTAAATACGCAAATAATGATGACATCAGCAACAGAAATCTCCCGGTGATTTGGTAGAAAATACCACTGATTCACTGTGCCCCTTGATCCACTGTGCCCCAACTCCCCCTACCTGTTAATCTATGTCATTTCCACATTAACCAGGCTATGCACAGGTTTTTTTCGAAACATGTAGGTCCTGAGTATGTTAATCCAATTCTTGAAGGATTTATGTCTCAAGTTTATACTGAGTTCTACCATAATGTTTAAAAATTTTAAATATGTCTAGAAAATTCTTATCTTTTGTGAATGTGTGAATATGCCTTGCTGAAACTAGTTTTGTTAAATATTTTTTTTAAATATTTATTTTTTCACCTTTGCCTGATAATTGCACATTGAAATGCTTTAAATTTCATTATATTTGACTCCTATATTTCTAATATTGCTTAATTTAATTTTTTTCTCTTTTTAAAGTGGTCCACTTAGGATTTCCATTTATCTCTGACATCAAATGTATTATGAGGAAAAGTATTATTACCACATGCTTCAAATTTGCAAGGTTGTTTCTATTATAG